TGCTAGTCTGTTGTTAAGTGAATACATTATTAAATTTCCAATGTGTCGTGTTTATTCATCCTTTAATCATTCAATACAGGAAATCCAGGAAAGTGTCAATAGCAGAGTAAAATGTTTTAAGCAGAAAAGACTGCAAATTTTTCATGGGTGCAACCCACACGCTCAACTCTACTGCTCAACCCACAAATGCATTTTTCTTACAAATGTGGCACCATTTAAGGGAGAATAAACAAGCTTTCCAACAGTGTAAGACTTATTGCCAAGAAGCGCTCTTAGAACAAAGAAATATTCAACCAAACACAAATTTTCATCACTTTTTGTGTTGCGTTTATTTTACAAGAGCCTAACTGTATGAACGTGTGTGTGTGTGTGTGTGTGTGTGTTTACATGCATGTATTGTTCTGTTTTCTCCTGTTGTGTTTTTAACTTCATTGTCAGTATTCTTATAATTAAATTAGAGCTGCTATCAGTTTGTGAAGAATTAGTGTTGGCACACTAAACTCTGCCCACGTAAGTCTTACCAAAGATCATTTCAATCCAAGGGTAAAATATTTCCTAAAATGATCATATGAAGAAACACCGTTTGTAAACAGAACTGTGTTTTAACCTTTACATGCTGTGGAAAGATCAATTATAAAAGTGACAGAAACTTTCAGCCTCGCACTTCAACCACTTCTACCGATTCTTGGGCGTTTCAGTACCTCCCCAATTGTCTGCAATTGACCCATAAGGCAGATGCATTTGAGCTGTTCAGGGTTGAGTGGCCCATTTGAGGGTACCTTGATAGTTGTTGAGGGAAGATAGAGAGGTCTCCAGGCTTAAAACTCCTCTGGTTGGTTCATATAATTCTCCCTCTCACAGTATATTACTTGTGACACAGCGTAATGCGTCAGTTGCTGAATATAACATCTCCCATTTGACCACTGAGCTCTTTCTGCCTCTTTCCTTTTTTTCCTACACTAACCACTTTACTCAAAGGAAATCTATGGGGTGTAAACAATTTCATATAAAGCACCCATGACAATTTTATTAAGCAAAACACTGTTATCCTAATTTCACATTGCAGTCTCTTTTTTTGTTGTTTTTTTAACATGGTACTAATTAATTGTTATTTTGTTGGTGTTCTTCTGTTTAACTTTTATTTAAAATCCTCCTGTGCAAGATTAAATGTAAATATACTCCTTCTTTATGGTCGTTGGACGTTAACACTGTTAACACTGTTAACACTGTTAACACTGTTAACACTAACTCTTTCCACTTGTGTTTTCTTGTCAGTGGTCAGTGTACATCCGTGCTGCTGTCCGTAAGGAGAAAGGCCTTCCCATCCTAGTGGAATTATTGAGGATAGACAATGACAAAGTCGTGTGCGCTGTCGCCACTGCTCTCAGAAATATGGCTTTGGACATCAGGAACAAGGAGCTCATTGGTGAGTACTGATAAAAACTTATCCAAGGGGTGTGGTGAGGCACCAATGAATTTGTCACTGGCTTTTTTAATCTTACAAACGTTGGATGCATGTCATTAATTTAATCTCAAATGATATTCTGGTCTGTTCTGGCTCACCTTGTGTAGTTAATGATGAAAATTAAATTTGCAATTAAGTGTGTATAATGAGCGAAAATTTGAACTTTTCAACTGTCGCTTAATAAGCGCATCATGTTTGGAAGTGTCCTGCCTACGGAGATCATATAAAACATATAAGAGGTTGGCTTGTTCTGCTATGTAAGTCGGAGAGCAAAATTGCAGTTTTTTTCTAAATGATTAAAATAGTTATTTAACTGAAGCGAAGGTGTGTTTGTTGGTGTGAGAAAATTAGACTAAGAAATAAAGTGCAGTAAAATAAAGGGGTAGTTTATATGTATTTGAAAGAGATGGGCTGAACAAAGCAGAAGAGAGGGAGAGAGCAGAAGAGACAAGCAGATCAAAGGCTTGCTTTTGGCTTTGAAAAGTACACAGTGGTAATGAGTGAGCCTCAGTCAATCTGGTAGCATCAACACATCTAGGTAGTAGAGATCACTTCTTAACCTGACGCATTAAGACACTATTGTGTGTGTGTGTGTGTGTGTGTGTGTGTGTGTGTGTGTGTGTGTGTGTGTGTGTGTG